TACTGCGATTTTGAGCCCGCAGCGCTGGGCAGGCCAGGACCAGCCGTGTGCCGGCGCTGCCAGCCGGCTCACCAAAGATCAGCAGTGCCGCACTCCCTCCCGAGGCGTCCCTCCCGCTCTCCCTCCCGCAGCCCCGGCGGAGCGCGGGCCCGTGTCCCCCGGAGCCCGTGTCCCCTCGGGCTCGCCGTAGCTGCTCCCCCGCGGCCGGGGCGCGGCGGGGCGGCGCGCGCGCGGCGCCGCGATGGAGCCGTGAGTGGGGGCGGGGCGCGGGGGGCGCGGGCCTGAGGGGCGCCGGCTCGCTCGGCTCCGGGTCCGGGTCCGGGAGAACGGACTGCTGGCTCTGAGCGGGGAGCCGAGTGCTGTCGGTGCCAGAATCACGGAACGGGCAGGCTTGGAGGCACCGCGGTCATTGCCGTCTGGCCCAGGCTGCCCGCGCGGGCAGGGTCAGCCCTGCAGCACGTGGCGCGGGATTGTGTCCTGACGGGACTGCCCGGGCAGGGAGACCCTCCGCCTCTGTGGGCGATTTAATTCAGTTTATACATGCTGTCCTCGTTAAGGAAAGCAGCTCGCCGAGGGTTAAATGAGTGTCTGTGAGGTTGTGTTCGCCGCTCAGAGCCCCGGGGGTGTCTGTCCCTTTCTTTAGGTGAACGCTGTGAGTTTGCCTTTTACATAGCCAATAAAACCTCCCCCCACGCCCGGTATCTTCACTCTCAGATTGTTTGTCAAAGGGAAAAGGAAAAACTTGTTTTCCCGGATATTTCTTGGCATGGACAGAGCCGATAGCTGTGATTAATTATTCATACTTAAATGAATACAACGATCAACGACTAAAAAACCAAACCCACCCCGTGCACGCATACAGAGGGAAAGCATAGCTGTGTTTATCTGTCAGTTGTCATGTAGCAGTTCTATATAGTACTGACAATGTTAATTTTATGCCTCTTTTGTGCAGTCATGTGCTGCCTCATTAGCTATCAAGCCTTGTGGAATACATTTGCAAGAAGGAATTCAAGGTCTTCTGAGGGACACCAAAGCAGGCAACATATTTAAACCATGAGCAAATACAGAGTGTGTGGATAGTCCCAGTACTGTCAACGTAGGTAGCATATATAATTATTCAAATCAAAGTGGGTTTGATGGTTCTATTTGGGAGTGAGCCTAAAATAGAGAAGAGCAGTTGGAGGCAAAGATGTTGAGGCTAGGATTTCAGAAAAGCTGCTGTGCATAAAAGCGAGCTGTTTCTGATTTTAATATTGACTCTGTACCTACCTACTGCTTAATCTCAGTTTCACCACAGATTTTCCTTCTTTAAAGTCAGTCTTTAGTGAAAACTGTCATATAACAGGTTCTGTTTTTCATGATGGTCTTCATTAAAGACTTTGTTATGCAGTCATGAGTAGTGATTGAAGATGAGGAGTATCCTGAGAGACGTTTTGCTGACCCTTTTGAGACAAAGCTTTACTCCAAAAGCAAAATGTAACCCACCTTTATGTCTCATGTATGAATGGCTACTGAAAGACTGCAGTATGAGTGTTATGTTAAGTTATGAGTGTGTGTTTCCAAAGTTAACTCTGTCACAGGCTGCACTAGAGCAGTTTAGTTTTACTGACTGCTGTTTGAGGTGTGTAAGTACACTATTTTTCTGCTTGTATCTCAGTGTTTTCTCCTCCTTTGCAGTCAGTTTCAGACATAAGTTAATTATAAACCACTCTGAATTAGGGTAAAGCTGAGTGTAGGTGGTAAAAGCTGCCTGAAAGACCTGCAGACAGCTGGATGCCTAGTCCTGAGCTTTGGACTGCTGTGGTTGGGCTGATTAAAGTATCTTCCACTTTGCTTGGTAAAGCAAAGCACAGTTCTTTACTTGTTTGAACAGGTGTATCCAGAGGCAGTAATCTTTTCTGATTTTCCTATAAATGTATTTCCAACATTTCATTCTTTCTTGGGCATTTCAAATGTAAGATAGAGTCTATCAGTGAGGCATCACCAACTTGCACTTGCATATATTCATAAACTTTACATCATCTCTTTCCAGAAGGAGAAACAATGTGTTAAACAATGAAACAATGTGTTAAACAATGAACTCATGGGAAGGTGATTTTGCCTGCTTTGTGTGTCAGCTGGTGATAGGTGCAGTGAGGCACTTAAACCTGCACAAGGAAGTTCTGCGGCTGCGGCGAGGGGCAGTGGAGCGTGCCTCACCCGATGGGAATGCTGTAAATTGTGGTGTGCCCCATGGGAAGTGCAGTTAAGATTTGGCTGAGTTCTTACCTGCAAGTGTCTGTGTTGCCTTGCAGACCTCTAAAGCAGCACATTCAGTCAGTGGCTTGAATGAGACTTGAGGAGTGAAGAGAGGAGAGCACCATGGGGTGTGTCCCTGCTCTCTGTGTCTCCACTCTAGGCTGGCTGCAGCATCCCTGCTGGTAGGTAGCTGTGCACTTACCCATTCCTAGGTGTTGCAGCATCTGGAGCGCAGCTGGAATAAAGAATGAGCCAATGTCTGGAACGTGTTTCTTCAAAAGCTCACAAGCACATCTACTCTGGCTTATGAGTAAACCAAGGTGCTGATTGCCAGTGGTTGTGACACTCTTGGCTGGGTGAGGAACTGGTGGCTTTCCTGTAAGGAGTGTGGAGAGGGAGCTGCTTTTCATGTCCACATCATGCATTTTAAAACGTCTGCAAAAACTTTGAAATTAGGAAACTTAACAAAAGAGCTAAGAACACACACAGCAAGTCAGAAGTGTCCTGCATCAGCCTGTAGCTGTCAAATGGATGCCCACTTATCAGCTATGCTCAAGCCATGGACTTTCCTGTGTGGAGAGATCCTCAGTATGTGCTCTGCCATGAAGCATTTGGTATCCACCTGAACTCTTACAGTTAATTTAGGCATGTCCACATTTTATGTACTGCTTTTATGTATCAGGGATTTTCTTGTTACAATTAATACTTTGGTATCTCAAGATAATAACCCATACTTGGTGCACTCAGGTAGACAGGGAATACCAGGTCATGTCTGGAACTGAAGAAGCCCCTGGAGCTGATGGAAACATGCACCTTAGTTAGTTGTTTTAGAACTGGTATGGATTTAATAGCTTTAACATGGTTTAAGTGCCTGAAGGCAGAGGTTTTAAGACATTGATATAAGAAAAATACTGCAGTTACATCCCTGCAAAAGTTGAGCAGACAAGTTCTGGTTTGACATGCCTCTATTAATTGGCATTTTAAAAAGTCAGCTTAAAACCCTATTTGTCTGTGAGGCTTCTGTGTGGTGATCTGATATTGCTTATATGGTAATTACTTGGTCATTTCATGTATGGTTTGCCTTTTTTGGCTGTACAGTCAGCTGTTCTGACCCCTGCACTGATGCAAAATTTCTGCTGTGTGTGAAGGTGTGTGGCAAGTGTTTTGCAGGTGCTGTGCCTGCAGTCCTGCACAGCCAGTTTGTGCAGGCTTGTAACATTTGCAGCTACTTGCGTGCAGTTCTCCTTACTTCTGTGGGGTTTTCCTCCCTTCCCCACCTCCTTTCTGCCTTAATAAATTAAGGTTTGGATCTCTCAAACTTTACAGTAAAGAAATAATTCAAACTGGTTTTGGTAGTGCTTCATTTGGTGAAAATGAAGCGATTCTCAAAGAAAACATAGGTTGTTATTAAATCCTTTCACTGGTTTTAAGTGAGTTGTTTGCCTTGCTTTAAGGGCTGCCATGCATGCAGCACATGGTACCTGTTCCCAGAGTTCAGGCTGGGTTTATGGGGAGGATTTCACCACCTCTTCTGCAATTCTTTGTTAATGTGGTGTACCAGTAAGAGCACCATTCAGCTGGTGAAAAGAAGAAAGAAGTTGTACTTCAAGCTAAAAGGGAGTGCTGTAATTAAAGTATTAAGGTTTTATTTCTTTCCATGATGGTACTCATACAAATTTATTGAAAAACACTACCACCAGCCCATCAGCCCCCCCCAGTCCTGCAAGCTTTCCCATATGAACTCTACAGATTCTTAAGGTTTTATTTCTTTCCATGATGGTACTCATACAAATTTATTGAAAAACACCACAACCAGCCCATCAGCCCCCCAGTCCTGCAGCTTTCCTATATGAACTGTGCAGATTGCTATGATCATACCTCCTGGAACAGCAGTAGAAAGTCAGGTATGTGGTGGCTCAGTTCTGGTATATCTCAAGAGGAAATGTTTGCTGTATTCTGAAACATGGTGGATTTGTCCACCTTACGGAAGATTAGTTTTTTGATCATATTTCCCTTAGGCTAACAGAACTGGGAGTTACCTGTTTTCCAGGGAATGCAGTTGGTATTTTCAATGCACACCCACACCCCTGCTCCCATTTTGTCTTTATCCTAATGATAACCACCAAGGCATAGTGCAGGAGATGTCATTGCTTGTGTGTGTATTTGTATGTAGGTGTCCAATAGCAAACTTGAGTTCAGGTTTTTATATCCCAAGCTTTGCTGGAACTCAGACAAGAGTTCAGAGCCTGAGCATGCACATCTAGCAGGTCTGGAGTCCTGCCCTACTCCTTGTTAGGGGTGATCCTGCTAGGTTGAAGCATATTTATAGGGTACAGAGAACTCATCAAGGTCTTGTGCAGGTAACCAAGCTGTTGGTGATGTCTGTCCCTTTAGATTAAGCTCTCATTGCAGGAGACATAGGGTCTTGGATGTTTAAGTTATTAATGTATGAAATAACAAAAAGAACTTTTTCTCCCTTTAGGAAATGCTTTCTGTTGCACAAGTGTTAGGACAATAGAAAACCCTAACATTAAAAATCAGGCAAAATTCATTTGGAGCACAGATATGTGCATGCATACATGTGTTTAATAATTCCTGTTATCTTTGCTCTATGAAGCAGCATTAATACCTTTTTTCTAAATGTTACATGTTACTTCAGCGTTTGGTTTAATTTTCTTTGTTGAAGAGTGAATGGGGTTTATTTTCTGCCCCTTTAGAAATATGACAGGCACTAATTCTGTGGTTTCTTTTGCTTCCTGTAGGCTGGCCCCGATGCGATTGTATACACTGTCCAAAAGGCACTTTGTTCTGGTCTTTGTAGTATTCTTTATTTGTTTTGGTCTGACAGTCTTCATAGGAATAGCAGGTAAGGATGTTCTCTTTTTAAAAGATTGCAGTTCTCATTATACTTTGTTGGTATTTACAGATGTATTTAAATGCTAATGAGCTTACTGCCCCTGAGATGTCAGAGGAAGCCTTTGTCTTTACAGGGACAGGGAAGTTTTTCTTCCATCTCACTTTTTCATAGAAGTAGTACCTTCTTGGTACTACTTGGTATTTGCAGCTGCTTTGCACCAGGGGAGAATCGATAAAATGAAACAAGTAGCTTCATTGCAACATAGTTTTTCAGCAGACTGCTACATTAATTGTTTTTCTTTGTATTTGTATATGTAAAATGGCAGTGCTAATACTTGATTTCCTGCGAGGAAACTGATAACTGTTTGTAAAGCCTTCTGAATGTTTGGGTGATAGATGCCACATAAATACAAAATATTTTAGTGTAAAAATATGAACTTCACTTGTCAAACATATATGAGTTTAGGTCTCTGGTTTCAGAGATCTTTGTGAGAGTCCTGACATGACCTGGGAGGCTAAGCACATAAAGCCTGGGTACTCATCCTGGAGATCAGAGAGATTTGTAGTCTGGGTGGCAACAAAGATGCAGTGTCACTAGGGAGTTGAAAAGCAGGGGGCCTTCTTTATTTCATGCCAGAGGGCTTTTCCAGGGCTAAAACATACTTGAAAAAAAAGTCAGTGTGCTCTCCTAGCAGTGTTAAATATGCTGATGCTCTGCTGTCAGAAGAGCTTTATCGATACAGAAGTGACAGGGAGAAGGAAAATGACTGGAACTCATTAAGAAGCCACCCCTGTATAGTAATTACTTTAGGTTGTTACCATCTTCCTCTACTTTACTGCTGACTTCCACATCACTTGGCATGTCCAGTGTGTTCCCCTGTGTCCCTCTCTGACACTTTTGGACATGTTGGGTTTTCTCCACCTCTGCCCTGTCCTTCACCTCCTTCAGAGTGAGAAGGGCTCCCAGACCTCAGAGCCATCCAGTCCTGCCTGACTTGGAAAGAAGGGTGGGTTAATTGAAGGCAGCTGTTAGGGCTTTTTATACCCATCTGTGCCTTGTAGGCAGTACATTTTTCATAATAGCCTTCAATAATAAAATTTGTCTGTGAAATAAAATCTTCTTTCCTGCTGTTTGATTTATTCTAACAGCCGAAGGTCTAAATTGGCTTTCAGTTCATAAAGGTTAACCGCTGATATTCCTGTGACTTGCTGAAGGATGCTGAAAGGCATATTTGGCCACTAAAATACTGCATCAACACATTTGCAAAAGTGCATTTTATGTTAAAGGGGGGGGAATTAATTATTTAATTTGGTGTAACTGGGCTATTTGGTTTTAAAATTGAACGATATTTGTAGTTGTGTACTTACACTGCCAGGCTGCAAGAAATGAAAAAAGTTGTTTTATGTAAGACTAGGGAATGCTCCTGGAAGAGAAAACTGAGTGATTTTTTTCCTAATCAGTAGCAGAACCTGAGAGGGAGCTGTGCTGGAGTATTGTGTCTGCATGCAGAGTAATCTGGTGGTATGGTTACCTTTGGCCCAGGGGACTTGGCTGCTGCAAGCAGCACTTGGTCATCTGTACCATGCTGTGGTCCCAGGCCTTGCCTGTGATCCCCTTCAGGAACTGGCATGGCTGTGGGATTCCTGTCCTTGTAAGACTGGTTTGCTGGATAGTTGGGTGACAGTGTTCATTATTATAACTTAAATGTTTTTAAAAGAATGCTGTTTACCTTGGGAGGAGATCCACTGAACAATTACTGTGATATTCCTCACAGCTTTTGTTGACAGCTGCTTGCTTCCTGTGAATAGAAGGAGGGGCCCTAACAACAGAATTCTCCCTCATTAAAGGGTACGGTCTGAGAAAAACTCACCAAACCCACTAAGTAAATGAAAGTGTGGGAGATACATCCATATTTTCTGTGCTACTCAAATGTGCCATTGCCCACACTCAACATCTATACCTGCAGTTTGGGAAGCCTGGCAGAAGTCTTGATTTTCATCTGAGAAATCAATATAGTTTGATCAGAGATGGATGCTACTCTTAACAGTTCTGGTAACCCAAAACAGACTTGTTTGGAGTTTTTTCCAAGTTGCACTCACTTTCTTTCTCTTTTCATAATGGGTCTGTGTTATCTTTGGGGTGAGACAAATTCAAAGAAAATCCAAGTTGCAGAACTCATTTTCTGTAGCTGTGCAGTTCATCAATTCAGGATAGTTCTTTGCCTTTATCTGTTATTATGTTAAGTGAACAAGACTAAAAGAAAAACAGTAACTATTTAAATTAGTCTCCATTTGTTAGTGATGCAGCCACAGCTTTTATATATTGCTTGCTAAAGAAGAAGCAGTTATAGCACTAGAGCTTCATTATTTGTTTGGTTGCTGTTCTTAAGAACTTTCACTGTGATTTTGTCCCAATATTGGTTCATATCTTCCAATAAAAAAATAAAAACCCTTAAAAAAGGCTAATTCCAGTTGTTTTGTCAAGACTCAATTACTGATATATGGTGACTTAGCAACTATGAACACCTACTGAAACTCAGTGTTGTTTTTTAAAACAAAAAAAGCCTTTCAAAAATCTGGTTTATATGTACTTGAGAGCTGAAAAGACTGATACAGAACTGACTTTATAGTGGTGGCTGTTAGTGATGTTCCACTGCAATTCTAATATGAAATTCTGGTTGTGATGGCTGAAATTCTTAATTTTTCCCTTTAAGACTGTAAGATGGTTAGTATTGTTATTAGAGTGGTTGTAGGAGCCCAAGCAGTGCTGCATGTTTAGAGCTGTCATGACAGCTAACCTGTCTTGGACAGAGTGATCATATGCTGCTCATTTATAAACTTCCTTCATTTCTCTTCTTTCTTTGTACTAACTTTGAAATGTTTGGTCTGTGTGAGAAACTTCTTTTCTTGCATAATTTTTATAATACTGAGTTTGTGATTGAAAGAGCATGTTTTGAGATTTAGAAAATTCCATTAAATTGCCAGACCAATTGCCAGACACAGGGAGAGACCATTTGGACAGAGGGATCCTCCTGGCCCAAATACAGGTGTATATGTCTTGCTTATGTGCCTGCCTGCCAGGCATCTTCTCTGTGTGTGTTCACAACCTGCTGTATAGACACAGATGATTTCCTGCTCTTCCCTGTCACTTTCCTGGTTTAGTCCTTTCATGTTTTGTGTGCAAAAAAACCCCATGATGTAAACATATCATTTTTATACATGAAACATGTATAAAACCACAAACACACATACATTCCTCTTGTCCTCAGTGCCCCATGCTCTTGCGTGCCTAAAGGGAAATTGTACCACTCTCTGGAACCACCTTATCAGGGGTTATAAAGAAATGGGGCTTTTCTCAGAGGTGCAACACAAACTGGAGCACAAGAAATTCCAGTTAGGCATTAGGGAATTTTTCTTACTGTAATGGGAGTTAAATACTGGAACAGGTTTCCCAGACAGGTTGTGGGAGTCTCTGTCCTTAAAGGTGTTAAAGACTTAACTGGACCTGGCCCTCAGCAGCCTCATCTTATTAAACAAGGGGGTTCTGTAACTGAGTGCTTTCATGACTGCATTCCCATAAAATCCTGGGAGATACATATACATATATAGAGAGATACAGATAGATAGAGATATGAATAAAAAACAACTACTAAAATTGTAGTAGTTTGGAGTACACATTCAGGGCTTTTGATGTGGAGTTCTTGATTTATAATTTACTTTATTTAATAATGCATAGAAATACCATGTCAGAGATGCTTAAAGGAACATGAAGGTAAAATTTGTAAATTATATTGAAATATCCAAGTATTTTACCCTTTATCTGAAACATCTGGAAAGTGGAATACTATTTACCTGCTTTGCAGGTGGTATTTTGTGCAGTCTTTTGACAACCTATATTTACATCATCACTTGTACGTATACTTCAATATTATTTTCTTTCTTCCTTCTTATATATTGTGTAGGTCCTAATGTAATTGAAACTTCTGTAGCAAGAACTGACTTAAATAACAGCCTAAAGGTAAGAGTTAATAAATATTGTTGGATTATATGAATGGCTTTTTTGATGTTAGTAATGTTAAACATTTCTCTCCTTCCCCCTGGTTATTTTAAATATTTAAACTTTTACTGCAGAATGTCTTAGTGGTGCTTTCCGATTTGAAGCTGAACATGCAATATTGTACTACCACTGTGTTACTTCATGAATAGCCCAGCAGCAATTTCTGGTCTCTTACTGTTGTGAGCAGGGCAGGTAGAGATTTCTGGGGTGTTTCTGTACAGAGGTTTCTGATAAAGAAGCACATGAGTTTTTCCCTGGTGAATTAGTGTTGGAGATTCATGACAGAGGGTTCAGAAACAGAAATTGAGAATATGCGTTGAAAAACAATTGAAAAACAATGCACTCGGTGGCAACTAATGCTATCCCTCTTGTGATTTCCCTTTCTATCATCTGTAAAGAAATACTTCTTGTTAATTGTTCACTATCATGTGACCAAGACATGGGATCTGGCTTCCTAAGAGGAACATTCACATATTCTCAAGTGCTTTCATATTTTGGTTCTCAGTTCTTGCATTTTTGTTTGTCAAACAAATATTTAATATTTCTTGTTAATTGTTCACTATCATGTGACCAAGACATGGGATCTGGCTTCCAATGAGGAACATTCACATATTCAAGTAATTTTGGGAAAGGGCTAAAAAGGTTTTGTTGTGGTTTTTTTCTCAAATGGCATTTCCTTTAAATACACTGGGACACTTTCTTTTTTTTTTAATCTACCAGTCACCTATTTGTGTTTGGATTGATGCAGTACTGTGGGTGGGTTTTATTGTTTTTCAAGCACATCTTAATTTCAAATCAGAGAAGTCTTTCCTGTGTGTAGGTTTTATTTGTTAATGATACCTTTCATTCTTTTGAACTGAATGTGGAAGTTTTAGAAAACCTTGTGGAAAATAGGGCTTTTTTGTAATTATAGTTTAACAATCTTAAAACTTTGTAGCAGATGAAGGCCCGCAAATCTGACTTTTGATGTAAAGTGCTAAAAATTATTTCTTTTATTCAGGCTAGGCCTCAGGATTTTGTTTTCCACATCTGAACTTTTCTGTTTTATTGCTGCTGCTTTTATAAAGTTTAGGTAGTTGTACCTTTCCTTACTTCAGTGCTTTGCAAAATGCATGTGCTGTTTAAGCTACTTCTGTGGAAGACTTCTGTGTGAGCTGCTTATCACGCTGTCCACAGAGTAGCACATACAAATCTCTTCTGAAAAACATTGTCACAAAGATAATTAACATGCCTTTCATTGTTGTAACTACAGATATGTCATGTAACAGTGAAAAGCCTGGTGCTAACCTTGTGGGGTTTTTTACAGCTGAAGCCCTTTAATTTAAGTTCACCACCACTGTCAACTTACAACCAGCAGCTGTGGCTGACCTGTGTGGTTGAACTGGATCAGCATGATGGTGAGAATCTGGCCTAATTCTCTGGAAACTGCTATAGCAACCTGTCTATTGTACCTTTAATTCCATCTGTCACACACATGATCCTGTTGCTTTCTGGCTGTGGTTCGTGGGTTTTGGTTTTTCCCCTGATACACTTTTCTTCCACCTCACCCACCTCCCTTGGTCAAAGCATGGACTGATTGAATTGTAAGCAACAGGAGTAGGGGACAAGTTGTTTGCTATTTTTTGTGAAAACCATAGTATCTAGATAATCTTTGTATTTCCTACTTCATTTGGGGGGGAATTAGATGTGTAGATTGTAATTATATTGATTTTTCAATACAGCTTCCGTGTATATATGTGAGAAATACTGTATTAGTAATTGTTAATCTGTCAAGACTCAGTACAGGGTTTGAGATTTACTGCCTGTGTATAAAAATACTGTACCCTACTCCAGTAATGTATAACTGGGTTAGTCTGAGTAGTATTTGGATAGAATATGTGTTTTAAACAGTTTTGGAACTCTATTTGAGATTTAATTTCTGTATGTAGCAATAGATTAATGCTTTCTGTTTTAATTCCAGTATCCCTCAAGAAGAATGTGACTATGACAGTGAGAGTCCTGGGAGTGGTGAAGGATGGAAGCACACCATACGTTAACAATCAAGTTCACAATCGGACGAGGTTACTCAGCTGTGCACAAGTATGCACTTGCTTAAACAAAACTCTGATGTAGTGCATTTGCTTTAAATCTGTGTGCATCCTACTTTACATTGAATGGACCTGTTAAACAATAAGAATGGACCTGTTAAACATGCCTCAGGAAAGACTCTACAGGACAGTTTTATTTATAATGGCAATGGAGGCAGAATGCTGACAAGACACCTTCCTGTCCATCATTTTTCTGTTTACTTCTGTGACTTGTGTCTATTGCCTGTTAAAGACCCCTCTTTCTTGTTAGAGTTGCTCTTTGTCAGTAAAGCAGTGGGTCCTGTTCGGTCACCTAAACAGGTTTAGCAGTACTGAAGAAAGGGAAGTTGTAGCAGAAGATTTGATATGGGGTTACAGAGGAGAGAAAAATTCTTCTCCAACACCTTGCAGAATCTGCTTGAAATCAGCTGGCAGTTGTGTTCTGAAAAGCCACATTTTTTGCCAGTGTGAAGAAACGTTTGGAGATGCTAATGTAATTTTCACTGAAATTTTTAAGCTTAAAGACATTCAAAACGGCTTCTCCAGATGCAAATCCTTTAGGAGGGACATAGCTGAAGTTTTTTATGATAAGCATATATAGTTAATCAAGTGTTTTCTTTTTATATAGATATATGAACATATCTATGAAGTTTGCAGAAATTAATTAGAAGTGCTCCATTAGATTTAATTACACAGCCAAGAGAGGAATATACTTGGCTTTTCTCTTTTGTCCTGTTAACTTTTTAAATGAGTTACTACAAGGTAGCCCCATCTCACCAGCTTGAGTTAGTGACAGAGCTATTTCATTCCATCCTGCTGCTGCAAGCAGTTGCTGTCACTGGCTCAGGTGAAAAGCTGGCACAGTTTATTGTTCAGCCACTGATCCACCTGACTGACTTCAGCAGTTTCTTCTGCTCCCTCTGGTATCTTTCAAGAAAGTCTTGATTAGACTTACTGAGACTGGTGAAATATATAATAAATATAATCAATATTGGGCCATTTAGGAATAAATTCTCTGACCTATACTAACAGTGCATATTCTGGAATAATTTGAAGACTTCTGTGTTCTGTTCTCTGTGTGTGTTCCCAGAAATGCAGTGAAATCATTGTTGCTCACCTGGGCTACCTGAACTACACTCAGTACAACATATTTGTAAGCTTTGAAGATCTGAACAAGTTAACATACACCATCCAGAATATTACTTTCACAGTAAGTATAAAGGTTTAGTCTAGTAAAAGAAGTCTCTTTAATGCTGTAGAAGTGTGCTTCAACTGCAACAAAAAAGTATCGTATTTTTGAAGATAAAAAAATACATAATAATAATTATTTTCTGTCACTACTGATGTCAGAGCTATTATAGCATTTACTGTTGATAAGGGTCTGGACCAATTTTTTAACTCTAAAAGGAAAAAAAATCTCTCAGAACTACTGCTGCTGTATTCTGTAACAGATAAGTTTAGTCTGAGTGCTGGGAGATATGTTTTACAATAGGCAAGCTAGATTAGAACATCCAGTTTTCTGCATTTGCTTATAGAGATGCTGCTTGTCTGCAGGATGTTTTTTTGGTTTGTTCTTCAGCCTCCCCAGGAGGTGTATTTGCATTACCAAAATTTTCCAGACTTCATAAAAGTGTGAACTGGAAAGGTTTAGCTAACTCAAAGGAAAATCAAGAGATTTTTTTTGAGTGGCACTGTGCTTATGAGGAAGATAATTGGTTTTTTTCAGCTAACACAAGCAGGTTACTAAAATAATTCACTCAAATGATCTCCAGTGGAATAACTATCTCAGTTAATAGTGCTAAAGATTGCTTATAAAGCACTTATATAATGTGTATTGATTGACTCCAGAAAGAAATTTAGAAACATTTGCATTGGGAGAAAAGGGAACTAAACCAGGTTTATAACACAGGTTCCTCTTGTATATTTACCTGTATACAGCATTCACTGTGTCAGAGCAGGTAGCAACCAAAAATCTTACTGTAAAGAAAAAATATTTTTAATATACCAAATGAACTTAATAAATATTAATATTTTTAATACTCCAGTGCATAAAGCACATAATTAAAAATAAGCTCTAAGGGGAAAAGCACCCTAGGCTTGCAAACCCTTTATTTAGTTCCATATTTCAAACAGAGCATAGTATTGGGGCATTTATGGTTGTACAGTTTTTTATCTTCCTTTGCAGTCTGCCTTTAAGGGAGACCTGTATGTAATCCCAAAAAAACTTCAACGCAAACTTTCCTGCAGCAACTAAAATTGTCACATTTATTTAATTATTAAATGGTTTATGGTGATCTCAGTTGAAATCAATGGATTGCCTTTTGTATAATAGGTTTCTCTACATATAATTTTCATTCTACATTTACAGTTTAAAAAACAAGACAGTGGTTGACAGATTTAATACATTGAAAGGTAAAGCTTGTTCAGATGAGCAGAGCATGTGTTGTGCCAGGGAGCTTACTTTTCAAAAATGGCTTCAGAAGCGTGCCAGGTATGAGATAAATTGTCAACAGAGCAGAGTTTATGTAAACTGACATGTTATAATTAATATTTATGCCTTCTAATAATTAGAGTAGAAGAAGGATGCTTTCCCCCTTAATCTATATAAAGATTTCTGTGTTTCTGGTAAGCTACTTATCCTTCCTTTACATGATTTTCTCTTTTTTAACTTCTGAGACAAGTGAGTAAGCTTTAAGAAAACAGACTCCTTACAGGAAGTGCCCCTGTACCTTTCTGACTTCTCCATAATCAATTTATGCATCTGACCTTGGTAGTACAGAACAACACACCAGATTTACTCATTTATTGGCATTCAGACTTTGATTGAAAGTGCAGTTGAGATCAATGAAGACTATCTTATTTGTCCTGAGAGTGCTTTAACATAGGACAGCAGTATGTTAGGAAGTGGCAGGATAAAAGAGAAGCAAGGCTATTAGGCTGCTTTTCTTATCTTTTTATCAGATAGTCCTATGTTTACAAATTTGTCTTTATTTTTCTATGATGACACAGTGGAATTTGGTTATACCTTTAAATTTTGAAAAGCCACCGAGCTTTTCAGTATCTGCAATAAAGTGCTAATTATTGTTGTCATATGTAGTTTGTCAAAATACTACTCATCAGGCTCTTCTGTTCTCTTGTAGTGGAAGACCTATAATCCAACCTTTTCACAAGTGGAAATATGGTTCCGATTTGTCTTTGTGGTTCTTACTTTTATGGTCACGGTAAGATTTTTTTGCAGCTTTTCTGGAGTTTATTATGTAGGCAGCTGATAACAGTGCTCTCTAATGCTGTGGTTAGGAATTTAACCCCAGGCAGCAAAGTTGACATGTCACTGAAGGGGTGTAAAAATGTTTCTGAAATACTTATGTAGTTGCTCCTTTTATGTTTTTGCAAGTGGTATTGAAGGGACATTAAGAAAATAGGATAAATGGGAAAACTTGTTTTTCTAAACTCTGGGTTTGGATTAAACAGAAAAAAATTACTTAGACAAAGGAAATTGTGATGAGATACTAAAGAAAAGTATTATTTTGCAGTGTAGGTAGGCTCAGGAATAGGATGGCCAGAGTGTGGGCTGTGTGACCTTGATCCAACATTAAAGTTATCACTGCCTTGCATGTGAGCATGGGCCAGATGACCTCCAGAGGTTCCTTACAACCTAAATTATGCTATGATTTAGATGATGTCTCCTCTCTAACCTGTCTTGACTTCTGGAAAAGAAGTGTTTGTAAAAAAAAGCCAACATAAAATCTAAAATCCTGAATTTTCAAAGTAGGGATGCCAAAATACTGCACGCTTCCACAGCATTTTTCTTGCAGATGATGTTGCTCAGGCAATTGTGAATATAAAATGCAATCTGCTTTTTAAAAAAGTGAGTTCAAGTCGTTGATAGCGTGTTACCAGTACACAATGAGGCAACATCTCTTTTTTCACACATTGTTGGTTTTCAGGTACTGGCTGGTTTACTTCCCAGTTTGCTTGAGGAATGAAGTCATTTGCATTGGGGTCAGCGAACAAACCTGAAATAGAAACTAGGAGACTTGGTGCCCATTTTACAGTGTGCTCAGTGGCAAAGGCCTCATGAAGTAGCCTTTGCAGTGTCCTGTGTTCTCTCTTAGCTCTGGTTAAACCATTGGAGGCTGTAGTCCTTCATTACAAATTGTTGTTGTTGTTGTTTTATAGTGTCTCTTTGCACATTCGCTGCGGAAATTCTCCATGAGAGACTGGGGTATTGAACAGAAATGGATGTCCATCCTACTTCCTCTCTTGCTGCTTTACAATGGTACTTGTATCCTTGAATTTTTGGAAAGGCACCTTTTTAAAATAGAAGCAGGAAAAGAAAAGGCAAAAAGAGAAGGCAAAATGGAATTTCTCCTTCAATTTATAAGCAGTTGTTTATAAAGCTTCAGAAAACGAAATTTAAAAAACACCAGCCCTTTCCAAGTGCAGCAAATTCAAGGGCATAATGCGTGGGTGGATTTTGTTCTTCTCAGTCACATGGATGTCAAGTATTTGTTTAAAACTCTGATTGGAATAGGTGCCTGCCATACTTAACCTTTCAATTTCTGTTTTTCTGCTATCTTCATTTTTCAGATATTCACACTTCAGTTAAAAATGGAGGCTACTTTTAGTCCAGTAAAACAGAGCAAATTCTAGCACTTTCTAGCAGTACCAAAAGAATATTTGCATCTTAGTCATTATATGATAATTTTTTAGGTTGTCACCATTAACAGTGGTTTAGTAGAAAGTCTAATAAAACCTGAAATCTTCTAGAAATGTTGGCAACCATTCAATATTATTCCTACAACAGAGTGGATTGCTGCTGGAGGCACCATTTTCTTTGTTAATTTATTTAAAATAAAAGAAGCTCCAGTTTCATTTACTGGGGTAATTTGAAAAATACAGGCTTTTTTTTTTGTTGTTCTGCTGAAGTTAGATTCTTTTTTGCCTTTCATACTGAAAGGGTTTTTTTCTCTCTGTTTAACCTTTTTTTTGTTTTGTTACAGATCCATTTTTCCCCCTTTCTTTTCTGGTGAACAGCTGGTTTCCTGGAATGCTGGATGATCTGTTCCAGTCGCTGTTTCTGTGTGCATTGTTGTTGTTCTGGCTTTGTGTTTACCATGGTATAAGAGTACAGGTAAGAGATGCAGCAGTATCTTCTGCTTACTGAGGAGACAGGGCTTGTTTTATTCAGTTCTCTCAAAAGGTGACAAAAACGAAATCCAGTTCTTACAAAACAAACATTTATTCATAAAGTGCAATGTGTCATATGAAGCTTTGCAGTTAAAATGATTTATGGTGATGTAGATTATTTTGAGTCAACCAAGCCTAAATGCAATAGATGGGACAGTCATCAGAATTATGATGCCATTATGCTTCATTCTTGCTTGAAGGGTTTTGATGTTGTATGTGGTAGTTGATTGGTTTTTTCAACTACTTCAAAATACTACATAAGAGAAATAGGAGTTCTGGAGCCTATGCCTGTATTTGCATTATCAGTGAAATATGTGGGACCTTATAAATAGGGTGCTCCAACTCTACTTCATCTTATTAATGATGATACAATATAATGTCTTCTCTAGTCACTTGTGCAGGGTAAAAATGCAAAAGATGAGTCTCTTAATCCAGTTCATGTTGAGTAAAACAAAGATGATAGTTATTTTATTCTGTCAAGAATGAAAAAAATCTCAGGTGTGGGTTCACACTTTCACCACGTTATTGTTCTCTTAACAGGGGGAAAGAAAGTGCTTAACTTTCTATCTGCCCAAATTCTTTATTGTTGGACTGCTGTGGCTGGCCTCTGTTACTCTGGGAATATGGCAAACGTAAGTAATTTAAAATGTATTTCACAAGTATGAGCTGAGAGTGTTCACCAATAAGAAGATTGTGTGTACCTAGTGGTATCTGTTTCTTAATACTCAGATTGTGATACAGGAATGGAGTTCAAATTCTACATCTTTCTGTTCTGCAGATTGTGACTGATTTGAAAACAGTTCTCCATGGACAACCTAGCAATAAACAATTTCATAAATCTGAGTGTGATCTAGAAATCATTCTCCTTTGTCAGTGTGTTATGGCTCCCTACAGGAATCACTCTAGTGCTATGGCTCAATGAGCATTTAGTAGCTGAAGCATCAGTTTCTCTCTGGCTAATTATGACATACTTTGACCAGACTTTCTTGACTATTAAACCTGCACAACTGGTACTCACATGGCTTAGTCAAGCTATGCTGTCCTGCTCAGAACTCCATTATTTTGCTTGGTTTAGACCTGCACAACTGGTACTCACATGGCTTAGTCAAGCTATGCTGTCCTTACTCAGAACTCCATTATTTTGCTTGGTTCTCCCTTTTTTCCAGTTTGTTGTGTTAACATAAAGGTGTCACTCTTCCCCACCCAGAAAACTTCATCCATTTTAGTACATTTGTAGTTTCATACTGTTTTGGTCTCAAGTGTTTGTCCCTTATTTTATCTCTCAGAAGGAAGATGCCTTCTAACTTTCTCCTTGCCATTGTACATTACTGAAAGCAGTGCAGTTGCAGGAAATGCTCATGTTGTTAGTAAAATTGCTATGAGGGAAGGCTTCTTGCCACAATTTTCTAAGGATAAAATGTAGACACTGAATTGTGAAGACGTGTAGGAATCCTGAAGGCTTGTAGGAATTGACATGATACATATTTTCTAAAAAACAAGTGGGGAGATTAGACATGATCCCAATTTAAATCCTCCATATTTCTGCAAATTTAGTTTGCTATATATGGTAAATTGACATGACTCCATTGGAATTAATGGCATTGCACCAACTTACACAGCCAAACTCTTTTGTTATAAGCTACACATAATAACCTTAAGCCTTTTCTTTGTGAGTGGGTTTCTTGGTCAGCATGTCTTTTTAACCTTGTCTGGAATTGTGCATTTTTAATACCACTTTCTAATTTTGAATCTTTTGTAGTGTGAATGAAGTACATGACCCTACCTATCAATACAGGGTTGACACAGGTAATTTCCAGGTAAGTCAGAAATTACTTCTTGCTGTCCAATTGTCAGGTACAGTTAGGCAATATAAGGAGATACAGGCCTGTTCTTTTATAAAAATGTATAACAAAGTTTAGAAAACAGAAAATGCTGCTCAGGCAGTCTTATTCTGACTAGAGTACTTCATTTTTGATCATGAATAGACTGTATTGATAGCTGTCCTATTGAGAAAATTAAATTGTCTTGCCAATTTAGAGACTAAACACCACAAGTTCGTTGGGATTGAAAGAAAAAATTTTTAGTTTGTTGTTCAGTTTTGTACGTCTTAATTCCTGCCAAGGTCCTCTACTCTAGTAAATTTCAGATTTTCTTGTTGTAAAGGAAGATTTGATGTACATGGGTCCTTGTATTGTTCTTGGGAGCTGTGTTTTTAGAGAATTATTGAAATTCAGCCAACTCTGAACTTAGTTAACAAAATCCTCGTTCCTATTAAGCATCCTTTCTTTACATTCCCCAAAAACTTCCCTGAATGTATCACCATCCGTGTTTCATGAGCCTACTTTCCCTGTATAAATTGACCATTCTGTGTTGTGCTTTTGGAAACTAATTGTTTCTATTGGCAGAAGAAGGAATAGATGAAATCTTACTGAATAATAAAACTTAACACTTTCCTTATAGGGAATGAAAATCTTCTTCCTTGTGGTGGCAACCACATACATTCTCTACCTTTTGTTCCTGATAGTGAGGGCATGCTCAGAACTTCGAAACATGCCTTATGTTGGTAAGGAGTACTTCTTTTGATTCTTCCAAAATACACTTGCTTCTCCTAGATGTAGGTATAAATTCACTGCTAACAACTTTTCTCAATCTTTTTCAGATCTCAGGTTAAAATTCTTGACTGCATTAACCTTTGTAGTGCTTGTCATTAGGTAAGGCTTTTCGAAGTACATTTGTCAGTACTCCAACTTTTCTAACCTTTTTTTCAGGGCTTTGAATACATTGTGTTGTAATAAGTTAGTCAATGAAACTGAAGAATGCCTTTTAATATTATTGTGATGGCAAGCATTTCTTAATTTTTTAACCCTTCTTGAGGCTTTCTGTGCTAACTTTCTTTTATTTTGATTACCTGGCAATGCACAAGCTTTAGAAGTTCACTTGGCAGGGCTCTTCTGGAGCTTTGTAGGCTTCACTTAGTCAAAGCAGAAGTTTACTGTTAATTTCTTACATTACTGTTAAAATCTGTTTTCCCTACATCAAGCTGTTATTTCAAATAACTGTTGACTATTGGATTGTCTGTAGTAGATGAAATCTGAGGATTTCTGCTTTTCTCAGCTGAGTGCTAACTTTTAATCACAAAAGAATTATTCTTAATTTAGAACTAGCTAAGCAAATGTATTTTAAAATAAATGGTCTGCATGTTAACATAATTACCCTCTCATATACTCTTCTATCAACCTACTATTTCAATTTTGCAGCCTAAGGACACAGTACACCTATATGCTTTATTTTTTTCCCCACAGCATTGTTATACTCTACCTACGCTTTGGAGCACAAGTTCTACAGGACAACTTTGTTGCTGAGCTGTCAACTCATTATCAGAACTATATCCTTTTGTTGTGATACTGCTCAAGTAGGAATGTTAATCTGTTTTCATGCAGAAGGTGCTTTAAAATGATGTGTCTAAGACTGAGACCTTTGACTTCTAGGTGGACTCTTATAGTTGAGTCTGTTTTGTTTAGGATTTCCTGTCAGCATTTTGCAATGGCTCTTCATAAAAGTTATCTGAGTTTAGTGTGTCCACATCACAGGCATCACAACTGCTTGTCATACTCTCCAAGAGGAATGAAGTCTTAGATATGTGTACCTTATGCATATCTAACTAATTTTAATGAGATATTATGGCAAATTTGGCTGTATTTGCTGCCTCAGTTGTTTGCTCTATACTTAGCAGTTGTCATGGGGCGTCTTAAAATATGAGAAATTAATCATTTGCATGTCACTGAAAATGCATTTGTGTATTGGTCTATATGTGATAAGTGACAACAGAGAATTTAATTGGCTTGGGAGACTGTTTCTGATGTCTTTTGCCAGCAGGATTGTGACCTGCATTCCTTCCCTGAACTATGAGATCCTTGCTCTGTGTGACTGCAGCTGCTCTGGTTGCTGATTAGCTTAGATATGAATTGGGAGGTAGGAGAAAACAATATATAAAACCTTTAGTGTTCACCTAAAACAATGGCAAGAAACCATCTTCAGAGTTCTATCCACATGTCCTTTCTCCTTCGTTCTTCAACACTGTGCCAAGGAAGAACTTTAAAAAATAAACCAAACCAAACCTACCTGAACACCCAACTTACTCTGCTTTCTTTCAGCATTCAAGGCAGAACTATTTGATTGACCGTACATTCCACTGCTCAAGAGAACCCTGTACCTCAGCAAATGTTACTTGTCTTAAAGTTCTGTTTTTAGTGGGAGCTTTACCTTGAAATAGCTTGAGTACATTAGTTGTCATTGAGTTTAAAACATGCAGTTTTGTTTAGCCACTCATGCACACAAACTTGAGTGAGGTAAACATTCTTTCCATTGAAACAGCCTGTGTATGGGTTGTGTCTTGTTTCCAAAGTTAATATGTATGGAACTATATTGAGCAATATCCTTAACACTTACTACCAGCAGAATTCTTATCATTTTATGGGTTATTGAACTTTTATCTCTACACATTAGCCTTTGTGTATTCTCCCTCGAAAAATGCACTGTATGGTAAGTGTGAGCCATTGTGTGGCAAATGTGGATGACAAGAGCTGCCCTATTAGCAGATACTGTGCAATGTCTTTGTATTCTGGTTGTCTCATTGCTGTTCTGGTTTGCATTGAGTTAACGTAAGCCAGAGCTGCACTCGCTGCTCCTGAGCAAATTAGTACTGGAAATATGAAGGAACACATAAAATGTAATCAACTGATTAGCTGGGCTTGAATTCTTGTGCACCTAGAACAAGTTTACAGTCAGTATGATGTTTGCATGTAATGCACCAACCTTTGAAGTGACTCACAGACAGCCCTTAAGGAACAGCATCACTTCATTTGTACTTTGTTCTAATGCAAGTTAATACACTGCCATGCTGGCAAACTGGACTCTGAAATCCAAGTGCTGTTGGAAAAGTAGGAATGAAACTGATCTCTAATATGGGAGAAATTTTGGAGAACTTCTTATGGGCAGTACAGGGGGCTGTACAGGGCCCATGTAAGGAGGGACAAAGGATTGAGTCAGTGGCAGTTCTGGTTTTGCATTGTTGATATAAAGAATACAGTCTGACTTACATAATGATTATAAAGCATTTGCCTCACTAAAAGATAAAGATCATTAAAATAAATATTTTTACTGAGTACATTGTCTGCTTTAAGCATTCTGTTCAAGGTACAGAAGCATAGAAGAGCCCAGTTTGGAATAGACCTGGAAAGATGGTGTGGCCCAGCCTTTCATGGGAAAGGAGGCCTAGCTGAGATTATCTATCAGCCTGTCCAATTGTATTGTGTATGCTGAGAGCATGCAGGGGGAAGGCACTAAAGAATGGAGCTCGTCCTTTCTCTAATTTAGAGTTGAGATGAAGAAAACTGTTCCAGAAAAATGCTATTTTTCCATTCAGAATGGAAAAAGAGCTGGCAGGATGCAGATAAAGTTGGAAGCCTTCTGTTGGGTTGCAGAAGTATTTGTTTGCAGACAACAGAAGGTAAAATGCTGCCAGGAAAAAGTTGCTGTGGCAAATTGCTAGATTGAATTTTACTTGCATATAACTATGAACTGCAGCTAAGCAGCACAGATTATGCAAGAAAGTAAGCCCTTAAAACAAGCTAGAGGGAATTGTCATAAATAGCAATTGGAAAGTATGTGTTTCTTTTCATCTCACCATAAAGGTACAAGTTTTTCCTTCCTCTCTTTTAAGGATAGAGAATAACTGGATAATCACTGACTTGCAGTCAAGGAATTCCAACTTTGGTCTACTATATTTTTAGTTTAGAAATAATCAAGAAGTCTGTACTTTTAAATACATATGAAATTTTGATTAAGAATAATCAATTTATGTGCCGGTTGAAATATGACACGGGAAATTGCACAGGGGAGGAAATGAGCTTAGACAACATGCAGAATATTTATCTAAAAATGAGATTGTGTTATCTCCTTAACCCTTAAGAACACTATAATTATGTGGCTGAGGGGTAGTGAATTTAAAGGAGAGAATTCCTGTTTACATATAGTTTTGCTGAACTGTGGTTTTGACTGCCTTGGAAGTTGTTGTGTCTGTTGCTACAATGTTGAGTTAGCACTACAGTCACATTTATTTAACACACTAAATTAACCCTTATTTGTGTTTTCCAGAATCACAGTTGAAAGACAATCCTGCTTTTTCTATGCTGAATGATTCAGATGATGATGTGATTTATGGGTAAGATTTAAAAATACCTATGGAGAGTTACTTCTGGTGTGTTATTTTTGCAATATTCTTTTACATATTAATTAAGTGAAGGGTTTGTTAGTGAAAGTTTTCTGCCTGAAGGATAGAAGTATAGCCTTTTCTGAAACAGAAATACAATGAGAATGCATGTTTTTTTCTTTTTTTTGGTTTCTAAAAGGGATTGCCATGGCAGTGATACAAACAGGTAAGAAAGTATTATGGTGCTGGTAGATCATGGAGTGAAGGCAGTAAGAGCTGTGAAGGGAAAGGGCTTCCTTTTTACACTGGGAAGGACTGCAGAAGTCAGATGGAATTAGCAAAGAGCCATCTCATATGTAAATGATTCAGGGAAGGACAGGGTCACTTTTTAAGTCTCCAGCACTTACTGAATGAAGAATAATCAAGTCTAGCAAAACTTCCTTGACTTGGATGATTTTATGTAATATGAGAATTACAGTAGCACTTGAGACCCAATGCAATCAGGTGTCTGTGCTGGACATGAAATACACCCGTGATGTTTTCACCCCTCACCAAAGACACTGAAGTGGCTGGGACAGTGAGGATGGGACCAACACTAACCTGTTGGTAACCTGAACCAGTAACTTGTTCAGTAGCCTGAACAAGTTCATGCTGGGATAGCTTGCCTTTGGTTAGTTAGATGAGTAGTGGTAGTGCCAGCTTGCTTCCTGCTATTCTGTGTGAAAAATGGCTTTTGTTGGAATAACTTTTATTATGCATCATCCTCTAAAGGAAAATCATGTGTTGTTCATGGCTCCCACAAGGAAGAAAAACAGACACCAGCTTCTTACCCAAGTAACAATTTGATGCCTCAATGTGGTTTAGAACCTTCCTCTTTATTTTCAGCTTGCTATCTGAACTGTTGTATGTTCAGAAATTACAACACATGTCTGTTTCACAGGAGTGACTATGAAGAGATGCCTCTTCAGAACGGCCAAGCTATTAGAGCCAAGTATAAAGAAGAGTCAGACAGTGATTGATTGACTGGTTTCAATGCAGACAGACTTGTGCATCTGGAGTTCATCCAGTTCTGAAGTTTTCCTTGTTGGATAACTTCTTTGAGTTCCTACAGTCTGCTATCATCTGAACACCAACTCCCAGGAAGGACATCCTGTTTCTCTTTCTGTTTACAAGGATAAAACTGAGAAAACAAGTGATGGAAATGGTTGTGGTGAAAACTGAAGAATCCAAAATTTTTACATGTCTTATAAAATGCCTAATAGCAGGATGTCTGTGGACTAAAATCTTTGTCTATTTCTGTTTTAAAGTCTCACAGATTGTATACTGCGTTTCAAATTGCTTCCTTGCTGCTCGGTTTTGGCTTTTTTTTTGTTTTGTTTTATTTTCTTTTCTTTTTTCTCTTTAGGATGATGTACAGCATACTGCCATTCATCTCTTGCATTTTGCATTAGCTGTTTTGTATTCTGTCCACCGTGGTATGAAGTGCCTCATTTCCCTTTCAGTTTTCTACCTTAGCCTTTTGAGCTGGAGGCAAGGAATGAAGTGTTTTGTTTTGTTTTTTTATCAGTGCAAGAAGACACTTTCTATTCTTCCTTCAAATAAGTGATACAGACTTAAGGCCATTTTTAAAATACGTGTCAGTAAGTTTACTGGATTTAGAAGTGCAAGATACGGGCAAATAGGCAAGTTGTAGTGGGCCAAAATATTCTCAGTGGTGCAAAATTATTTGTATAATTATGTGTTTCATGACATGCTTTACTGCTACAGCAGAAGTGTCTCTGTTGTTTTTTTTAAACAGCCATTTCAAATCGAAATGCTTCAGCCACAACAGATCTCAGAAGGATGCCAGTACTGCCTTTTTCCTGGTCTTCTTGTATGCTGGAGGAGATTGACACTTACAGAGAATAGAGTGTGAAAGTTTTTTAAGGAATTACAGTTTCAAATTTCCACACATTTCATTTTTAGAGTTTTTTTCCCTACATCAATTTTCCCTTAAGTTGTATTTATAGATAGTTACTCTACATGCTAGGAACAGTTGTGGTTGCTCATATACTGAATGTGTCTGAGAGTCAGCTTGTGAGCATGTTCTGTGCACAGTTCAGCTTCTTTGTCATACCAGTCACCACCTGTATGATGGGAACTTTTACTAGCACACGTTGTGGTTATCTGTATTCCAGTCTGTGCTGGAACAAAGTTATATGGGAATTAAGTATTCCTTGTACAATGCTGCTGCTTCTCTATTTAGAAGTTGGTTTTCTCCTACACCATTGTTCGGTTCTTTATTTAAGATGTTTGTTTGTAACTACTTTTGTTTTCAGATACTTGACCTTTCTAAAAGTATCTCCTTTTTTCATGTACTTGCAACAGAGATTTACTCTTGTAAAATTTCTCTGCCCTGCTGCTTTAGAAGATTCCCAAAAGCACTGTTAATCTACTGCATTATGGTGCTGGGTTGCACTAGGGAATTGTGCTGATCATTAAAGTAGTTTAAGCAGAATAGTGCAATGAAGTCCTGCTAGACTTGCTGAGTCATTGGGGAAAAAGGAGATTTGTTATGCTTTAATGCAACAACTGCTCTAGACTGTGCCCATTGCAGTGACCTTCTGGTGGCTGTTCAAGATCATGAAGGGGAGGCTGCACAAGGCAGCAACTCACTTAGAGAGGACCAAAGGAACTCCAGCTTCATGTGGTTGTGCCCTGGCTGTCATAGAATAGTTCAGATTAAAGCAGTGCTCTGCTAAAGATGTGTTGTGAGACATTGTGTGCGTGTGAGAGAGAGAGGGAAGACTTTCTAAAATTATGTGGAGCTGTGAAATTTTTGGAGAGTATCTGAAATTAAAACCTTTTTGTGCCAGGGATCATTTCTTTGTTAGAAGCCAAAGCACTGTTGTATGGCTAAAGCAAGGAAATTACTGGGGAGAAAGAGCAGGTTTTCCCCTTTAACTTCTTACTCGGTATTACTTTAGAAGAACTTATAGGAAAACACTAAAGAAGTAATTCAAGTGAGTGGTGGTTTTCTTTCCAGAAAACTGTAGTAAAATGCACCTTCAGCACTTCATTTGAGACTGTTTTGAAAGGGTATGGGAGATGCTCTGTATCCAGAGTCCATTGTCATTTTTCCTGTTTCTGAGATAACTCTCCCTATTTCAATTGCAGAATCAGACTTGGCAACGAATTTGGCATTGTTTACATAAGCCAAATCCTTTCAAGTTCTGTTGGAGTAACTGTGGGTACAGGAAGGAGGTTTTCAAAAACTGGTATTTACGCTATTCTTACATACCCAGATATTTTTCCTGTGATATTGTTTAATTTTCTCCTAAATTGTTATGAAAGAGAAAATTTGACCAGTGTGCAAAGTACACCAATGCTTCTTACCACAGTCTGAACTAGTGTTTACAGTTAACTCTCAAATAGTGTCATGCCTTGGGATTTCATTAACTAAAAACCATATTTTAATTTAACTTGGAGATTATTTTTTCTAAGCTGTTTTCAACCCATTTCTCTTGCTGTTTTGTTTGAATAAACTTCACTACATCACTACATTCACAGTGGAAGTAGAAAAGCTAAGAATGGGAAATGTGTACTTAAATAAGTATTTCACTATGAACACAGTGAGAAACTAATTTCTGTGGTTATTTTTAGAGATTATATTTAAGCAATTTTTTTGCCATGCAAAATAGGTTTCTATTTTGGAAGTGCTACAGTGTTATGGTAGCTTGGTTGAGTCACTGTTGCATCAAATTCAATACACAGTAAGATGGCAAAAGCAGTGAAGCAGGTGAGGAACTAGTTTTGCCAGCAAGACTCCTCTTATTTCCATGATTGGAGAGCAGACAGTATTTGAAGCATATTCCAATATGGGTTGTAAACAGCTTGGGAGTAGGTGGCATAAATTCACCTCTGAGTTAAAGTATTGAAATCCAAGGGTTAAACAGAAGAAATCTTTTTAGGAAGCTAGCCTGGCTTTCCTTTTATTACTGCTAAAGTAGTTATTTGCATCACTACTGCCACTGTACAAAACAAGAAATGTACACAGGAAGGCCCCACAGCACACAGTGATCCTGGCCCTAAAGGAGACATCACCCATTAATTACTGCAAGACTTCCACATACACAGTGATTACAAGGGTCTTCTAAGAAATCCATAATTGAGTGCAAGCCAGTCATACCAACTACTTTCTGTAATATTTGCTTTACAAACACAGCCAGTGTTGAAATTGGTGAAAACTTTCCTAGGATTGGCAGAGAGGCAGCCTAAGGCTTGACACTGGTGAGAAACAGCTTGTGCATTGGATCTGTGGTACCAGTACTGGGGAGAGCAGTTCCAGCTAGGAAAGACTTCGATCTGTAGTCTTTCTCTGAGCCAAATGACAACATTTCATCCATAGTCACCCCACCCATTTCCTTTTGCTTATGCCAGTAATAACTTTTGCATTACTGTAAAACTTTTTTTAGGAGTTTGTAAATATGTAAAATGAAAATATGGAAAAATTGTGTACCAAAATGGTATAAAAATGTGTAAGATAAATGCTCTGTTTAATGAGAAGCTGTAATTAAATGCTGCTTTGAGAAAGTGTGCATGAGGACATGTTAAATATTGTGTGTAAGTTGTGCTAATAACAGCAAATTATCCATTTATGTTGTAAAACTTTATGCTAATGTGGAATATGAAGGAAAACTGAATATTTTACTTCAAGAAAGTTTCTTTGAAGACTTTATGTGCATAATCATTGTTAAATATGTTCATAATAAAGTTTTATATCTTTATATCGTATCCTAGGTTTATTTTCCTTCTACTGCATTTTAGTTTCCTTCTCATAAACTGTTTTCATGACTTACACATATTTTCAGTTTACATGCATTTTTAATGCATATTTAAGCTTGGTTAATTGCATAAGGATGGGATCCAAGAAGCTGTGTCATTGCAGATGTTTTGTATCGTTTATTGGAGTTTTTTTATTACCATGCCTGGACTTAAGGGACCTACCATTTTCAAATGGCTTCACAGTGGCTTTGCCAAGTCTGCTGTGGCCACGCTGGCAGTGAGAATTCCCCTGATGAATGTTAATAGCAGTAATAAAAAATAGGTTTAGAGATAGTGAAGATGCTGATGTCATTCACCAACTTCTTACAACTGTATCTTCCAAAAGTCTGCTCATAGCTGGTAGACTGCAGAAGTGATCAGCACATCACTTGCTGTTTGGGGTGATGCCATTGCTTATATCAGCTCAAGGGGAGACTGAAATCTGTGCTGAATAAAATGGCCACAGCCTTCCCAGCACAAATGTATATCCAGCTTACTGCTGGCTGTAGTATCAGATAAGGTGGTGCTCTTTTAGCAGCAGCAGTTAATCCTGGAGCCATTTCCTTAGGTTATAGCTAACACAGGTCAGTCTCCTCTGTGGCAGTGACAGTAAAAGGCTTCCCCCTTCCTCCTCCTCCCCTGCAGACTGGCACAGCCATGCCCCTCATTTCTGTAGCTGTAATCATATAAAGAGCCATTGCAATAAGCAAGAGACAGCAGACTGGCTGTATAATTACCTTGACTGCTCCATCCACAGTTTGGGTTTATTTTTTTAAGGCAAATTAATTACCTAGAGCCAGGACTCTGCCAGCTCATCACCCAAATGCTTTACTTTGGCTGGGAAAAGTGCTTGAAACTAAGGTGTTTGAAGGCAATGAAAATTTAAAAATCAGTTACTGTAGAAGACCAAAACAGCAATTGCTATGCAATTTTAAAGAATAATCATGGGAGTGGGAAACCAACACCCAAAAATCCACAACCTCTAAACCCCTTTCTGTAGTCCTAGAACTTATATTGGAAGTGCTGGTTATTGCTCACGTTTAAAACCATCTGTAAAACTGTATCTACCTTCCTGTAATGCAGCTCCTGTTTTAATGCAACAGGAGTTTCTCTTCCCATGCAGCCTTTACAAGCATCTCAAACATTTGTTGGGTTTTTTTGCAGCTCAGCATATGCATGAACCAACAAACACCAAAAGATCAAGGGATTTGCTATTATTAACATGAACAAAGGACAAGGAATGTCTGGATGGCTTGACCAAGATGCAAATATTGACTCGAAGTGCACAAAACTGTTTCTTTTAAGTGTAAATAAATAGTTCAGTAGGTACTACACTGCCAGCATCATTCTGGCGTGATGGAAATTGGAAAAAGTATCTAAGCATCCAGGTGAAAAATTTCCTTAGCAACTCAAGAGGGCAAAAATTTATTATTTTCATTACACGTTTCTCTCTGACCCTGATGACTCTTTTAGGCACGCTATTCAATCTGCTTTTAATATTTTCTTTTTACAGATGTTGCATGATTTCTGACTGAAGACTGAACCCGTACTCAAGCTCTCTTACAGCAAGGGATGTAAAGGATGCTCCTGTGGCTAAGGTCTATGCACACTCTGTATAGCCTGTAGCACTCACCAGGTCATATGTGAAAAGAATGAAGTGGCTTGTCTTGAAGGAGATGCATTTACAGACTGTCAGCAGAATGGAATGTCAGCAGAAATACAGAAGCCTTACAGCTCTGTTAGAAGTCTCAAATGCACCAAGCCCAAATCTGCTGATACATACACCTGTTTTGCTCTTCTGACAGCAGGTATGGGTAGGCAGGAAGAGGGTCAAAACCTTGCCTAGCACAGGGCTTTCCAGTCTGACTACACTGAGTTAGCAGAGAACACATAACACTATGGCAAACAAAGCCTCCCCTGCCATTTGAATTTGTAGAATTACATCTCTCCGGACTGTGGAATCATACTGTTGTGTTAGCAGTCATCTCTCTCTTAAACAGCTCTAGCTGAGAGCCAGATTCTGAACACACTAGACAGGGCTTCCTACAAAGAAGCAAATCACAGATTGCTCACGCTGACTCCAGCCCAGGGATGCTCTCCCACATGGGTCTGTAACTCTTTCAGCTTCATTAGCAGGGAGCTGCTGCTTGCAGAAGCAGCACAGCTGTTTGCAGAGTTTTTCTGAAGTTCATAGTATGCTCCCATTTCTTTAATTAGCTGAAAAAACATTACCCAAGCCTATTCTGAACACTTATTTACTTGTTATTCTTCTGCAACTTTACTCTAGAAGGCAGGAGACTTACTCACATGTTATTTAGTCACATTGCCTCAAGGCAGTTTTTTCCCCTTTCAGAAAGGGTCTTGTTTCATCAGCTACCAGAACTCATCATCTGCATTATCAGCAAAATCCACATGGACTGTAGCAAGTAAGTTCAAGACCTACTTAACACATTCAACTGACTGCAGAAGTGAATGATTATCCAGGTGTGGCTTGCTGAGCACTTCCAGAACGTGAAAAATTTCTTACCCATGTTTGTTCGTAATGACACAACAATGAACGTAGTTATTGTTCCATGCTCTAAATACTATACAAAAAGACTAAACAGGTCCCAAAAATGCAGCAAAATTACTTTTTGATAAACATGATCTAATTTTCTTGCAACTTTGTAGTGACTCTGGCAAAATTATGAAAGTGCTTTTGCACTGTGGTATGTACCTCGACTATCTTGAAGAGAATTGAAAAAACAGAAACTTTTCCCCCCAATAACAAAAGATTTTCATTTAAATGAATCACACCAATGGTTATGAATTTCAATAATTTAATGCTAACCAAAAGTACAAAGTGTGAAATCAGTGTCTCATTTATATTGGTCTAAGAAAAGAAATCTAGAGAAAGTGTTTATACTGCAGCAGATTTCAGTATTAGCACCTTAAAGAGAAGTTTTTAAGTGATAAAAAGTATAGAAAACACTGGTATGGTACTAGGTACAAACATAAAATAACATGTTTTCAAATTTCTACCTTTGAAGAAAAGTTACTAAAAAAATGCATTAAAAACAAGTTGTTCAGGTGTTCACAGTTTGAGTGGAGATGGAATCAAGTGCTGGAATAGAAAAGAGAAGAATGAACAAGGCAATTATATTGCGAGTCCGAAGGCACTGACAATACAGTACATGGTCTTATTTTCCCATCTCACAGTGCAGGTTCCTGCAAATACAAAAATAAGGGTTTCAGAAACATAAGGAAGTTAAAATGATTACATCCATGCCCCTATATGCATTTTCATACTTGTTTCCTTTAAGAATCTTAATAATGAGGCTTTCACAACAGCCAAGCATTTCATATACAGCACAGATAGCATCACAGCCAAATGGAAAAAATACCTAACAGTATGCTATTACTTCAAAACTACAGACCTGGGTGGGAAATATGCTGCCTAGTCTTAAAGAGACTGGCATTAAGGTGCTAGCTGGAAAATCCAAGGGTGGTTTTCCTTACCGTCACTGGAGTTGTCCCAGAAGCAAGAGCTTGCTGTATGTAGTCCAGCACCATTCTTTTGCATAATCACACAGGTCACTGTTAGTAGAGAAGCTTTGATTAATTTCTCACAGTTAGCTCCATTTTTGCTCAGCTTAGCACACATATACAAACACAGGCAAACATGCAGGCTGGTGAGTAGTTCACAGATGAGGTTCTGCCTAAGATCTTCCCCCACCCCGTGCCTACTGGAGCACTTGCCTGTCCCAGCTTTCAGAGAAAAGGGGAAGCTGAGCTCACCGATGTACTTGAAGGGCTTCCCCAGCTTTGTGAGCTGGCTCAGGGTTTGTTCCACCACGCTTGTTGTCCACTGGTTCACTTTGCTGTGCTGGTAGGCATTGCCACCGATAGCACCCTCTATGGCCTGCAGGGACAAAGAGGTGAAGGAGCTGCACTGTCAGCTGCAAGGCACCCATTAAACTTTCCAACGTGGGCCCATACCCACAGAAAAATCCTAAATACTGCTGGTCCACACTGGCTGTTGGAAGTGTGTTCAATTATTAAAAACATGCAGGTCAGAGTCTGAACCAGGCATAGGAGAAATCATCATAGATCCCACCCTCTGTTCATTTTGTGATATTTAAGATCATTTGTAAAGTCCTACAGCCATAGTTATGAAAAGGGTCCTGTATTTAAACAGTCCTGAAGAGAATTAAAAAAGGCACAGTAGTGCAATAGCTCATCCATGCATATTCTTCTATGGAAATTAAATTCCAGTTTTAGAGCAGAATAATTTTTGGAAGACAGACCCCCAGACTGAAACAGAAGACCCATGTAGTTGCTGGTTACTAACAGAGCATAAGCTTCCAGCCAAATAATCCATTTCACTTATGAGGATAGTTTCCCTTTTAAGATATAAATAAAAGTACACTAAACCTACATGTTTTTCATTGGCACATTTTTTCATCACAGAGATTATTTTAAAAATAACCACAAAATTGGATTCAGAATAGACAGTAACATGTATTAAAGCATGTGTATTCAATGTGTATACAATTTGACCAAAACAGTTATTTTGCAACAACAAAAAGACTGCACTACTCTACAAGAGGAATTCCAAATCCTGCTAGAAATTTTCTAGACAGAAAATTCACGTTTCTTAGCAACAAGAACGTTCAATCATTCCAAACAAACAAGAATTCACTTTGGAGAAAAGCATCTTGAAAGAACACAGTAACATGTGTATGCAGACAGACACAAAAAAAGCCTGTGTTTTACTAAAACATAAAATCTATTTCTGTGGTGTTTAACATCAAACATCCCTCTAGAAATTCTAAAAGGGATGCACTGCAACCAGAGAGGATTGTATGAAATTACTTGGATTTGCAATATATATCACAGCTAAAGCTTGGTATCATTTCTGCTGAAGTCCACACACTGGTTAAATCCACAGTTACCTGTACTCTGACAGCAGCCTATCTAGGAA